ATAATTACAAACATTAACTACTTAAAGTTTTTTATGAGTTATAAATATGTGTAATTTTTATATTGTTATCCTTCATTAATTTACTATTTCATTTGGTCATTAATTTTTTTGCTATATGAATAAAAATATGTTCTTTAGAATTTTATTTTGAAAATAAGACATTTGAAAATAAGACATTATAAATTGGCAAATTTGTAAAGTTGGACCATATAATAAAAATAGAAAAACAAAACAAAACATAGATTTATTGCAATTTAAACTTGACTTTCTCTCTATTTGTCAGATTACAACAAAAAATCCTTACTAATTTATTTAATTAAATGAACAAAATATGACTTTATAATTTTAATAATGCGCTTATTTGAATAACTTATATTTAAACATAGAAAGATAGAAATATCGCTACTAGAACAATGTGCGATGTAGTTATTACGATTCTCATAACAAACGATACAAAATCAAACGTATGTAAAATATGTGATTCAAATTTAAATCAGTATATATTTAATAGAAACTTCGAATTTTCCTGATTCATCAAGATTCATCAAGTTTTCTCTCTTCTATTTCAAATTATTGAAATTTTGAAAAGTTTCTATCGAAAGTATCTTTGCTTTGAATAAAGATTTTAATTGAGTTCAATTAGAAAAATATTGAATTGAAACAATGAGAAAGAATACAGTTATTGACACGCGAACAATAACATAAAATTATTGTAGTAACATTCTTAGTATATATACAAGGTAGTATAATTCTACTGATATACAAAGCAATATAATTCATTTGATTTTAAAATGAGTTATTTAAACCGTTAAAATTTAGAATCATATTTTAAAAAATTTTAATTAGAAATTATGATCAATCGTATATCCTCTAAATGTCCTAGATTGAAAGTAAAGTTATTAAATAATAATTGTTGATAGAAGTAAGGTAAGTAACAAATATTCAGTGAATTGCAACTCACAACAGATCTTTATTTTAATGCTCACAACAAAAAAAAATGTTTGGTTGAATTAACTAGAATTTTGGTGGAAAATAAACGATCCAGAATTCTAATTAAATTTACAAGATTTCTGGTTAAACCTGGTTAAAAATTATTTGAAATAACTAACATTTAGTAGATTTAATCATAAATCTAATAGACAACCAAAATTCTGGATCGTTTATTTTCCACCAGAATTCCAATTAATTCAATCAAATATTTTTTTCCGTGCACATAAGAAGGTAATTATAGGAGAGAGAAATAAAAGAATAGGAAAATCGATTTACAATTGAGCACTATATTCCCCTTTTGATTAGGAATCGAAACTAGACAGAAACTTACAAGGGGAGATTTGACTCCATCAAGATTAAAAAACTAAAGTTTTTTTTTTTTTAATTATCACAACAATAATATGTATTTTATTTAAGAAAAAAAATTTGAATTTTAATTAAAATCTACATTTAATATCTATATTTTACTAAATATTATTTTATCGATAAAATATATTGTGCTATCCACACAAAAAAGGAGAAACCATTGACAATTGCTCAAGCTTAATAAAACTTAAAAAAAATCGAAGAGTAAATATGTAACTAAGAAAGCCCCTCCCAATGATCTTGACTTTGACATATTGTCACGACTCTGAATGACCTTGAGAAAGTTTTAACCGTCGGATGTTACTTATTAAAAAGTTATAGACAAAAAAGTTTAAGAAATATTGTTTCATTTCTGCTATATAAAATTTTTAGTTTTAAAAAGAAGAAAATAAATTTTGTTTTATCCACGAGAAGCGACTTTCATCTCACCTCTCTCTCTCTGCTTCAGGGGACTAGTGGAAATCGGGATTAGTAAACTATAGGAATAAGTATTTAAGAATAATTGAGGCATTAAAAACAAAACACGCGTAAGCAACTGCCACTCAGTTTGCTGTAACATTTCGTTGCAAACACATCTATATATAGAAGTTACGCTACAATTT